AGTAACGACTGTTTGTTACAGATTTTTAAAAAAAGTAAATTTAAATTAAATTAAAACATGCAGGTTTCAAATTTTGGATATAACTTTTTGGTTATAAGGCCTCCTACCCTATAATCAGCTAACACTATAAGGGTCCTTTGACCTATTTTGTATAATTTGTTTATTTGGCTGCATTTTGTATCATTTTGTCCCTTGTGGCGATCTTTGATTGAAGTTGTAATCATGCATCAATCCTGTTGTATGATCTTGATGTTGACGTAAACCCTAAACAAATAGGGTGGGTCGTGTCACTATTCAAATATTACTTTTCGATGCGCTGTGATTTCGACTGTTTCATTATAAATTCACGTCGTTTATTAATCGTTTTTGCAACCATTGCTGTGTATATTTTTTTTCAGTTTCCCATATTTTAAATAAAGTATTATTATGATAAATGAATTTTACATTTCAGTAATCACTATTTAATACCCTTGATTTTATTAAGGGAAAATCAGCCATACTTGCTTTCCAAATAAACCTGCTGATAATTTAAAAAAAATTGCTTGATCTCTTATAACAACGAAACTGATTTTTGAGCATTAATTTGCTCAAGAGATATTTATCAAGGCTTTGGAGTAGTTTGGCTGTTTCATCCCAGTTTTATTAGAACAACTTTTTCAAGCATGACTATAAATAAAACAAAACACGTTGTTTCAGTTAACTTTCTTCTTCTTCAGCACGACAGCCCCTTACTGGCTGCCTCAACCACACGTAGCCTCCAACGCCTCCTGTCCATGGCGACTTTTTTCCACTTGTTTATCTTTAATACTTTTAGATCTTTAGCAGTGTCATCCAGCCATCTAGTTGGAGGTCTTCCTCTAGCCCGAGATCCCGAAGGATTTTTAAAGGTGGCGATTCGGACTGCATTATTTTCTGGACCTCGTCAGATATGGCCAAACCATCTTTATCTATTGCTTCGGATGACCTGCACTATCTGTGGCTGTCCATACAGTCTATATAATTCAAAGTTGTATCTGATTCGCCGACAGAATCTTTCCTGTACTGGGCCAAAAATATTTCTAAGGATTTTCCTTTCAAAAACACCAAGAGTACGCTGTGTGTCTGCGTTTAATGTCCATGTTTCACTTGCATAGAGCAATACAGGTAGAATAAGAGTCTTATAAATTTTAATTTTGATTTTTCGATTGATTAGGCTTGATCTTAATTATTTTCTTAGTCCAAAGAAACACTTGTTTGCCATTTTTATTCTGTTGTCTACTTCTGTTTTTATGCTATTTTAGTCATTGATCATTATTCCAAGGTATTTGAATTCATTAACCCTTTCAAAGGTGTAACCATTTATGAATAAAAGATCATGATTTACAGTTGTGGCTGGAGATTCCATAAATTTAGTTTTATCTTCATTGATGGTAAGGTCCATATTTGTGGCAGAAGTTTCAAGAGCCAGAAAGGCCTCTCTCACAGCTCTCTCTCTCTCTCTGACCTTCCTATGACATCGATGTCATCGGCATAAGCCAGTAATTGAACTAATCTATTCCAAAGGATGCCTTTTCGGTCTAATCCACTATCTCTGATGCATTTCACCAGAGCTAGATTAAAGAGTAGACAGGTGAGGGAATCCCCTTGACGCAGGCCTCTCTCTGTAGAAAATGGTTCAGATAATTGATTTTAACCCTGCATCTTATATTACTTAGTGTAGCTCTGGTTATGTTAATGAGTTTAGTAGGGATCCCAAATTCGGCCATTGCTTCCAGTAGTTTATCTCTCTTTATGCTGTCGTAAGCAGCTTTAAAGTCTATAAATAAATGAAAAGTTTTGATATTATATTCCTTAGTTTTTTCTAAAATTTGTTTTAGAGTGTGAATTTGATCTATAGTAGATCTTTGTGATCTAAAACCACATTGGTAGTCTCCAATTATTTTGTCTGTAAAACGGAGCAGTCTTGCAAAAAGCAAGTTGAAGAATATTTTATATGCCGTATTGAGGAGTGTAATGCCCCTATAGTTGCGACATTCAAGTTGGTCTCCTTTCTTATATATGGGGCAAATGGAGCCTTCTTCCCATTCAATGGGCAATTTCTCCGTATCCCAAATTTTAACCATGATATTATAGATGGTGCTAAGAAGCTCTGGTTCATCAGTTTTTAGAAGCTCAGATGGTATACAGTCGGGACCAGCCGACCTATTGTTGTTAAGTTTTTTAATTGCCAGGACAACCTCATCTAGAGATGGTTGGGGATGTCTACGTTTTGAACTGGGTTCAGTTCTTCAGGGCTGTTCTGTAAGTTGAGAGTCTCATATTTTGCTTCAAGCAAATCTTGAAAGTAGCATTTCCAAACTTTAAAGCACGTGATGAAGTTCGCTCATCACCACCCGTCGGTGTTCCCACCTTATCGTGGTGGTGTGATTTGTGTGCGTTGTCGACCCCGAGAGCTATGCCGGCGATAGCTTAGCTTCTGGCAGGGTCACTCAAGCTGGACAGGTCTGAGGGGAGACACCAGACAAAGAGGAACACCCTGGTCCTCCAATTTGGGGGTTTGGCTTGGGGCCAACTACGCCACACTGTAAAAAACTTCTAGTTCAGAAACCTCAACAATACTTGTAGAAATAAGGATGGAGAACTTGTGAGCGAACTTCTGTTAACTTTGGAAATGCTAATTTGGTGGCGTAGTCCACCTGTGCTATCACATTCATGTTGATTATACAGTTTTTATGACCTAACGAAAAAAAAAATAGCTAAATATGCTTGCAATAAGCTTCTTTTTAATGAGAGTTTTTAGCTACCAATCATCACTGATGTAATCTTTAAAATGTTTTATGAAAAAAATAACAGAATTGTTCGCAGTTTTATTTTTATCTATGACAAATTCTAAACCAATTTAAAAATCCATTTTCTAAACGTCTCACCCAAACGATATAATTGAAATTTTTGAATGATTTTTAGGATCGAGGGCTTAAATTGCCTTATTTATCCACTATGGATGATGTTTTCAATATAAATGTAAACAATAATAATTTCAAGATCTTGACCTGCTCTACTTCCTTTTAAAAAGTATACAGCTGCTTACTACAGTTTATTCTGCTAGGCGATATTTTCAAGAGGATAATTTTGTTTTTAATAGAAGAAATAAATTATATAATTTCAGAGCTCAAATCTGCTGTATTTCATAAAATATTAAAGATATTAAGTAATTCTGGTGAGTTTGAAGTGCAAATTTGTTTTAGTTATTTATAGATGTATATTGTTAAAAAAGGTGACGTGGTTGCTAGACTTGGAAGGAACTAGTTTTTTTGGTTGTCCTGATTTGGCATCTAGTTAACTGTTTATTACTGCTTGTTCATATTGCAAGCCGTGCTCCATCATACGTTAGTGTTAGCATATTGTTCGAACGGCGAGATTCAGTTCATTTTACAAATTATCATACAGGTTTAAATTTCGAAGCTGGTAAAACTCCTTTTTTTCGTCACTAATACTATCTGTGTTTCGGTTAATTATCTAGACCAATTTTAAAACTCTAGCGGTAGCCAAAACTCAATTTCATTTGTATCCAATTTTTTTTTTTTTTTTTTTCATATTTCTACACAACCCGGTTTATTAAAAATGCAATCTCACCGCTTGTAGCTTGTGCCCCTGCGATCGACACTGGGAGACAAAAAAAAACCTTTTATCCACAATTCAGATATTGACATTCGTCTTTCAGATATCGGAAGGGCAGATGTGCTGACCACCAGAGCCTGACTTAGGCAAGGGCATATGGGGCAGTTGTCCCATATACGGGGCCCCACATCAGAGGGACTCCTAAATCGAGAAAAAGTTTTTATGTTTCCTTCTTTGCTGAAATTTTTTTAACAAAATATCAGTACAGAGTAAAATCCGTCAGTTTTCTTCGTCATTACTTCATTGTATGAACACAAAAAATCCATAATTCGTAAATCCGTGGCTTTCTGGGGCGGAATTCAGCTAAATTTTTGCAATCACGATGGACAAATTTGGCCGATCAAAAACCATCGCAAAATGTGATATGTTTACAAAAAATCCGGGCTTCTGATTGGCTCAATTGAGTTATCGTAATTGCGAAAACTTAGCTGAATTCCGCCCTGATTTCAGCTAGGGCATAAATTTTAGGCTGCTAGATGACAGATTTGTCAGAAAATCAATAAAATGTACAGAATGATGTTTCGGCTGACGATTGGAGGTGAAGGGGGACTTTTTAGCTATTTTAGATTGTAGTGAATTNGCTCGCCAGATTTTATTGCATTATAAAGAAAAGTTATTGAAACTAAATACAACTAAATAAACAACAACAACTAAAACAAATAACAACAACTACTAATAACAATAACTAAATAAACAACAACTAAATAAACAACAAACTAGGGCATGAATTTTAGGCTGCTAGATGACAAATTTGTCAGAAAATCAATAAAATGGACAGAATGATGTTTCGTCTGACGATTGGAGGTGAGGGGGGACTTTTTAGGTATTTTAGATTCTAGTGAATTTTCTTGTTATACATCTATAATGAGGTAAAAAATTTAAATTCCACCATAAAGTTCGTTTTTTCATTAGTGAAGTAGAGGGGACCCCCAATTAGGCTAAGTCGGGCCCTGTTGGCCACTCTTTCAAGGAACACCATATTTGGTGAGCCAACATTACTACCCTCCCCAGTAAGAATGGCGGAAAGTACAGAAAGGAAGGAATGGAAAGAGCGTCCATGTCTGTGATTGGGATTCGAACCCGAGACATTCTGACAGGAGGTCGACTTCCTGACCATCATACAGACAGGTCAGTGAAAAAAAGAACTTTATTGGTGATTTTTTCGTGCTGAAGTATATTGGAGCATTCTCACAGAATGCGATTTGCATATGCGATAGTACGCCCATGCTCGTCTTATTCGCTCATGCGTCTGGGGCAATCGCATGCGGTGTGAATGTCTCCTTTACCCCAAGCAGGTTCTCATATTTCCTCGAACTTTTCTTTCGTGAACTAAATACAGTGAGAATAGCCCTAAAAATAAAATTAAAGTATGTGAGTTGTGCTGTTGAATGAAAAAAAAAGTAGGCGGAAGTGTTTATACTTTTATTAATAGTTGAATTGTTCGTAATATCTTTGAGTAGTACATATCGTTTACTCTGGTCAGGTTGATTAAATATTTTGTGTTTGAATATCAGGAGTAATTTATAAACTGACAAAACGAGTTTAATCGATGCGAAAAAGAGAATGAACACAATTTAAATATGACCCTTATATTTATTTACACCTGATCTTATACTCATTATACCGATTGTTATATAAAGCATATTAGTATTTTCGAAATAATTAATCAAATGGATTCTCAAGTTGGATATCACGAGAGTAGGGGTGGGGATTCTAATCCTCCTCCCGAAAAAATGAAAGTAATGAACAATACTAGTTGAATAAAATATTTTTTTACGAATTCAATATAAAATTGCGTTTCAATTTATTTGAGAACTTTCATAAGTTACAAAAACACTGCAAAATTTTTTTAATTTGTCTTTCTGAGTTTTATAAGATACTGAATAATAAACGGTGATACGTAATTCTGAGTATATTAATAATGAAGGTGTTTCTATTTTAGTTTTAATTCTTATACCTAAAAAATTTATGCTTAAATAAATTTCGCCGGTTTACAAATATTGCTAATTTTCTTTTTAAACACTATTTTAATTTTTCAAAAACTTTGACAGAAAATTGAAAAATAAATTTTCTCTAATAATTTAAAATTCGTATTAGCTAAATATCAAAAAATTTATTCGAATAAATAAATTAATACAAATTTATTTGAATCAATTACAGTATATATATAGTACATATTACAGTATATATAATATATAGTACAAGTATTGTCTTGTGCTACAGATAATTATGTTAAATTTACACAATGCATAGAAGAGTAACTGGTATAGTTAAGAAAGATTAGTGCTTAGTTCTCTTTAATTTACGAGGAATTATTTTTGTGTTGTTATATGTCACATCAACTACAATTGCCAAGGTGACAAATGTATTCTAAACTGATATGAAATATTTCTGCATGAGTATTGCAGAACTTTATTAAAAACCTAATATAATAAATTTAATTAAAACAAAGAGATATGAAGGTTAAAATTTAAAAGCTTTAAGTCTGGTTAAAGTTTTAAGTAAAATTAAAATAAGTGCCATTTCAAAATCATATTTATAATTTGTTTGTGTGATTTCTTACAATTTTATGTTTCTGTGTATTTTTAGATGACAGAAATGCAGTTAAATAAAACAGAATTAATGTTATTGCGTGAATGTAATAGAGAAAGTTTTTATTACAGATGTAAGTAAAATGCTACATAGAATTTATACGTTAAATACTTATTAGATATAATATGTAATTCTTCTTTTTTTTTAAAAAATTAGGTTTGCCATTTGCATTTTTTGGTATGGCTGCTACATATTATGCTGTTAAAACTGGTAAACACACGTATTATTTTTCTTTCATCTTTTGCTCACGGCTGGCACAACAAGTGAACCAGAATAACAGGTTTCACTACAGAAGCGCCGTAAACAAAAGGTTAATTTATAAAAGAAATATCGTTTGAGTTTTGTATAAATTTTTTACAAGTTTTATTATATTTTAGGTTATTTAAGAGGCCATCCGAAATTTGGACCAGCTTTCAAAATGACAGGTAAGAAAAATAAATAAATAAAAATACAGTCACTGACTCTCTGACTGATACAGTGTTATAAAGTTTCTATATGAAATTTATGTTATTTTGATTCATGAGGATTATAAAGATTTATTTGTTTTAGGATTTACTTTATTTAATTTTATTGAAAATTTTAGTTTAAGACTGAAAATTTTCTTTGTAAGGCTAATGTTCTGGTAGACAGTGTATGTTGCATTTCAGAAATGAATTTGAGTACTAGCTGTGATGTGAAGTTGATTTGTGTGAAGATATTAGTTATTGATATGTAAAATGTTTTTTGAAGTGTAGTCAAAATTTTCTAAAAGTTAAATAATTTTGTTTGGTATGGAGAAAATTGTCGTTGAAGTTTTGTGGGGAAAGCAATACTATGTGTAAAGGGTACTATTTAGGCAGATGTTGAAAATCCTAACAGAGCTTATCTATACAAGATTTTGTTAAATAATGGCAGGACCATGATAGCTCAATGGTTAAGGAATCAGGCTTTGATCGGGAAGGGCTTTGGTTCGACCCTCATCTCTGCTAAAAGCTATCGAGTTCATGCGATATACGTGCTCATAAAATCTGTGATATCAAAAATCCCGTGACTGAGCATGTGTAGAGGGATCTGGAAATTTTTTTATTCTCCTTCTGATCGATGTCAAAATTCTGGAAGAGGCCTTACAAATGGATGCAGCTGCCATCTACTCAGGAAGTTCTGAACAAAGACCTGCTTTCACCCTTGCCAAACAAAAAGAACATATTTCTTACTTAATTTGCCCAAAAAAAAAAAAAAAAAGGAACTTCCTATGGACAAAGACAAAAGGAATTTCCTATGTGCTCCAAGCATAATTCTTCACACCAATCTACTCCAGATCATTTGAGTGATCTCTTTGAAAATCCTGTGCTGGTTCATGACTTTCTGTGGGTGAACTGTCTTCTGGACTTTAGCTAAGGACTGGATCAAGTGGAATAAGAAACAACAACAAAAAAGCCAATGGTTAGCTTGCTTGACTTCTCCAAATGTAAAAAGAAACAATAACATTAAGTAGTAGCGCTAACAGTTTGAATATAATGAGGACATTTAGATTATTAAAAAAGGTGAAAAGTGTTGGAATGCAATGTCGTTTATTAATAGAGCATATTGCAAGAAAATTTAAAACAATTTTAACAAACAATTTTTTTTTTTTAAAAAAGAAGGTCAACATCTACTTCTATATAATTTTCTTAACTGTAAGCCCTCACAATTACAGATACACAGAAATATTTTCTTTTGGTTTATGGAGATAAATATGTGTGTACACATAAAATTCTATTTTAGAAACTGTTGAGTATCTTTCAGTGCAAAACATATTCGCCATTTTAGTTTCGAAAGTTATTGCCATCTCTTACCTGTGCTGTTATGTAATAATATTAGAATGAAGTTTTAATGTTGGTGAAACAAGATAAAAATTTCTGCTAGCAACTTTTCCTTTTTAGATTTATTAGTTATTTTAATCTGTCTTTCACAAATGTCTTAATACTGATTTTGACAAATTATGTTTTAATATTTTCGATTTTATTGCTATTATATTTCATCAATTAAAAACATCATTTTTCATCATTTTTTTTTTTATATTATCTTAAATTGAGAGTTTTTAAATAAGATATCATTGCAGGTGCTGCATTTGCTGGATGGTTTTTAGGTAAATTTTCTTATAGAAGTATATGCGAAGATAAGTTTCTGAATCTTGAAAATAGTGCCATTGGTAATGCTATACGAAAAAAGAGAGGATATCAGTTGAAAGGGTAAGTTTATTTCTTCTATGACAGCTTTTGGGTTTTTGATTAATTCTGTATTTTTTAGGTTTTTCCAGAGCTCATTCTAGACAGAAAAAAGGGCAGGGTGCAAAAGTTTAAAAAAAGGGCATTATTATTCTAAAAAGGCAATAATTTCACGTTCTATTAAAAAACATTGTCAATTAGTAAAATAATTTTTTTTTTACTTAACTAAAAGTAGCAAAGCAATCATTAATTACTTATTTTCATTAATAAATTAACATATATATCGAGTTAATGAGTTAATTAGCTTAGTAATTTATTTAAAATGCATGCATATATTAATAAAATAATAAATGTATGTTTTTAAGTGTCTGTAGTTATGATTAAATAATTAAAATGATTAATAATAATTATGATTTAATGATAGTGGAAGTAACAGCAAACTTTCAAAGACAAGTGCAACAATGGGTTGTGATGGCTATTTTTCCTTTCCCATATAAGTCTATGTATTGACAGCAATGACAAACTAAATAAAAAGAGTTAAAAATAACAGTTCATGAAATCCATTGTAGAGTTTGGGGAAAAAGTAAAGTAGGGTTGAGGAAAGAAAGGGCAAAAAGGGTATAGAGTTTATTACATCAGGGCACTAAGTTACTTCAGGGGCAACAGGGTGAATCATTTTGACTAAAAGGGCAGCAGGGTGCTGCACCCTGCTTACCCTGCCTAGAATGAGCTCTGGTTTTTCCATTAAATAAAATATTTGGTTATTCATCTTTTGTATACTTTTCACAAGATATAAGTCACAACAATGTTAACTGCTACAAATTTTTCTTAATTTCAGAATATTTCAGTTCCAGTTACCAAATTACGGAAAACTTTTGAAAACTGTGAAAAAGTTTCATTTTTTAAATAACTCTATATTTTTTGGTTCATACCTTTTTTCCTGTTTTATTTTATTTTCCAATTTGAAGGTAAATTATTATTTTCCTAACAATCTACTTGTTTTTTTAGTAATTAAATTCTAAATAATCAATCATGTTCGAATAAAAGTAGCTTAAAAATTATATCTGCTATTACATTAAAATATCACTACTTATTAGCAATTATGAGAATAATTACATCTGTACATTATTATGTAAATATTTATATCATAAAAACTTGTGTCAGCTATTACACAAAAACATCAGTACAGGTTAGCAATTATGTAAATCATATACAGACTAAAACTTTGCATTGGCAGTTTGGTTTTTAAGCAGCTCACATATTTTTTGATATTGATTTTCTTGTAGATTATTAGTTTAATGCCAAATTTCTTCTGAACATTATACTATCAAATTTACATATAATGATAAAGCTGGGACCAATGCTATTCGCTTATTAAATCAGGTTGCTTGTTCAGCCATAGTTGTCTAAATTTATCTAAACTGAATGCTCTAATGTGCAAAAAGGAATTAGAAAATCTTTAGAAAAAGTTTTTTGTTTCTTACTTACACTGAAAAGAAATAAATATATTATCTTTTTTATGGAGAATTATACCATAAATCAGAGTTATGTTTATAACAACACAGTTTTATACAGGTTTTTTAACATTAAACCAAACAAATTTACAATTTTATAAAAACTCAAATTTCCTTATTAAACTTGCGATCTCGTTAAATGCAATAAATAAGTTTGATTGTATTACGCAAAATTATTAACAGTCTAAATATAAAAAATGAATTTTCAAAAATGCTCAACATAAATTTTATAAAATTAATTTTTTAACATAAATGTAGTTATAACAATGTTCGAGAAAAATTATATACATAATAGTATTGCTTTATGCATTATTGTATGTGAATTTTTTAAAAATATTTTTTGGTTGTTGGAATATATCATTCTTTGTTTCATCTTTTAGAAAAATAATTCTATATGGTACAGCACAGTTATCTTAATTTGTTTTTGAAATATAAATTCAATTTATGCAAGTTGAACTTTAAACTGATCATTAGTAAAATGTTTGTTACTTGCTTCACACCTAATTTTTTTTTAAAATAATCATAGTCTATTCATTGTTTGTTATTCTGATGTTTGGTTTTACACTAAGCACTCAATTATTTGACATAATTAGTTATTCCATACACTTCCCACTTGCTTCTGAATGTTTTGGCAAAGAGACAGTTATCATTAATTCTGGAAAAAAGATTATACAATTATTTTAAGTAGATACATTTAGTGAACTGTAAAAAGATAGTATAATAGCCTTACATTATGCTACTGATTCTTTATATGCAAATATATTCAATGTTTATGTAATTCTTATTCCTTTTCATTGAAATTTGTTGCATACCAGTTATATTTTTCTCAACATGACCTCCATTTTAAACATGGTGTGTAGCATTTTTAAAAAGTGCATAAAGGAGCTTATTTTCGATTTTCGTTTTTTGAAAGCCCTTAAAGGTGCTTATTTTCGTTTTTAAAAGCCCTTAAAGGTGCTTTTTTCATTGGGTGTTTTTAAAAAGTGCTTAATTTTCCCTTTTCGAAAGTGAGATTTTTTTATTTACCATGTCGATTTCCACCACATATGCAAAAGCATGGTTTTCACATTGTTCTATTCAATGTTTTCACAATTCAATTTAACACAATGCATTTTGGCGTACCTTCAGTTTAAAAGATTCCAATTGCAGGCTTCATTTTCCACCCTCTGAAATCGAACTGAAAAATCTCTCCATCTTTTTATGGTGAATCAAAGGAATGGTGATCAAGAAAAGAGTTTTTTTTTTCTATCAGAAACTTAGTTATTTTATCATGATCATGTAAACTCTATGAAAACTATTTTGCATTTTGTTAATGTATATAGTGCTTAAAAGTATTCTTTTAGTGCTTAAAAAGTACTTGAAAGGTGCTTATTTTTTGTTGAAAGATTTGGCTACGCACCCTATTACAACTTGTTTATTTTACCTTTTATTTTAGAGATGAGAGTGAAGCAAATCTGTCTTTTAGAACTGTTGAAGATTACTCTACAGTTAAAGATAATAATCAAGCTTCATATTCTGGTGGGGATTTCCATTCAAGTTCAGGTTCTTTGAATTTTGACAGAAATGAGCCATCATCAGAGTTAGATGATAGAGATAGGCCATCATTAGATAGTAAGTAGATAAGTGCTGATTTGTTTTTGCTTTTAAGTTTTTGTTCCCATTTTGTTTATTAACATCCAAATATTCTGAGAAGTTAAGCAATCTGAAACCGGGGGAACTTGAATAATTTTATCGAAATTGAAAGTATAATTATAAATTAAAACTTGTGTTTAATATTTTTTGACTGGTAAATTAAATTTGTTGATTGTAGTATTTTTCATTGTATTATTAGTATCATTGTATTATTAGTATGTAGTTCATATTATTAGTATGTATTATCTATTATTAGCATGCATTACATAGTATTTTCAGTATATTTTATTATGAAACATTGATTATATTTTATATAACAGTGCTAATTGTAGTTCATTTTTTTATAAATATTTTGGGAATGCAGTTATCAAATTTAAGGAATCCAAAATGAAAATCCTTCCCATTAGTTTTTTTTTTAAATTATTCAAATTTTAATAGATTATTAAAATTTTTTTTTGTTATTAAAAACTTTTAGTTTATTCTTATTTTTATTGTAAAATAATTTTTTTAAAAGAAGTAAAAATCCATAGATTATTTAAAATTTTATTCTATTTTCAATAATGTTGGAAAAATAACATTTGCTTTAGCAAACATGTCATGTTGTCATTGTATAAAGTTGTTCTTTAATTGCTAAGAAGCTTGGACAAATTTATTCAATTTTTTTTTTAAAATTAAAATTTCAGAAAAGTTTGTTAACCTCTGAAAAACAATGAAGTGTAATCTCACATTGGGTTTAGGACTAGCTGTAAAAAGATTACTTAGACCTTTTCTATATTTTTGTTAATTATAACTTTTGAAGGAAAATAATATATTTTATTTTTATGGTTTAAGTTTTCATTGTTCTCTAAATTTATTTCCTACTCATGAAATAAAAAAATTGTTTTATGTAATAAATGTCATGTAAATTTACTCTTCACACTTTTATAACTTACTGTGCTTCTGCTATTAATACATTAAATGATGCAAAAAAATTGTATACTTAAAATATGTGCTATGTTTATTTAAGAATTATTTCATTTAGAGATTTTTTTTCTAACAATTCTTAATTTGAATTTATATGAAAAATAAAACTCACTGTTGTAATGATAAAAACATTTTATGGTTGTGTACTGTTAAAATACCTTTTGGTTTTATATTGTGATGTAATTTCTCAGTCAACAACATTATTCAATAATATTATGCTGCATAATTTGTTGACTAATCTGTAATTTTACATTTTTTAACAATAAAATTTTTTTTCTTTGAATTTTAAATATTTTTTTGAATTTTAAGTTACAAAGCTTTTTTTTTTCTTCTAAAATTTTGATTTGACTTTCTAAAGTTATTAAATTTATATCTAATACAATATTTTATTATAAAAATTTGTTTAGGTAACCAAAGTTTACCTGATGAATCACAATCAGTTAGACAATCTACCACTTACGATGAGTTACGAAGGAAAAATAGGGAAGACTATGAAAATCGCCAATATCGCCAAGCAGAGGTTCCAAAATCAGATACTTATCGTCGACCATGGAATCCTAATGTTTCAGAACCCCTAAGAAGAACTAGTAATAATCCTCAAGATGGTAATAAATTTTGAATGTTGACAATTTTTTAAAATTAAGATATCTAGGTTAAATATTTTTTTGCCTTTAAAAAAATATAAACATTGTTCTACATCTTTTTAAATCTTTCTAAAGTACATAAAGACGACATTTCTCCTTCATTTTTGCATCTCTTTCTTCTCGTACATTTTCTCTTTCTAAATTACAGAAAGAAACTGGTTTTAAGAAATTTTAAAAAATGATGGTTGCACATTCTTAGTATATCAGTAAATGTATTAATAATATTTATGTAAACGTTATTAAAAGTTGAGAATAAGGACAATGCTCTGTTACACTGTTATTTTAAAGTAAATGGTTATTAAAATTTCCATGGTCTTTGAATTTTTTTTAATTTATAAAATGCAGGTTAAATAAAATATGTTTGCAGCCATTGTAAGAGTAGATAAATTATGTTTTTTTTTTCTATGAGGCTTTAATGTATTTTGCACTATAAAAATTACCAATAATTCAATGGAAAAAAGTGTTTACATCAGAAAAGTAGGTTGGATTATTTTTATTGCTATATATTGTTAATAACTAATTATTTTTGAATTTTATTACAACTAAATTATTTCATAGCTCTTCTCTATAACTGTATTGTTTCGATTTTAAACCAATGATTTATTTTTGTTGATAAAATTTGCCTTTTAATGTAAAGTGCAAAATTTCAATTCTGCATAAAATTTTTCCTTTGCAGTAGTTATTAAACAAATTCAACTTATTGCTGCAAAAGATACTGCTTTTACACTTTATGATGGGGCTTCTTTTTATTCTTTTATCAAAGCTTTACTGAATATGTTCCTTGTTATGAATTGAGTTTGACATATTTAACTGAGTATTCAGTATAATATATTCAGTCTGTGTCGACTTAGACTGTGTCTGTCACTGATGACTGACAGTGTAAAATATGATATAAGACAAAAAAATTTGCATCAACTTAAGTGAATGCTGTATATTTATTTAAAATTCCATTAGTAGTGCAGTTTGGATTTGCTATACCTCAATATAAGAGTTTCTAAGCAGCACACATTGCCTGATAAGGATTTCCTTAAAAATACACTGAAAAATATAAAAATGACAACCGAAGCTGACGTCTTCAGGGGGTACCAGCCCCGGAATCTATAAAACGCAAAACCCTTTCTATCGAGTGAGCACGACAAATGTCTAGAAATTGCTCTCTCTCTGTACCCCAAAGGTTTTGCAAAACCTTTGAGAAGAGAGAAAAGAGAATACAAAATACAAAGGTAAAATACATAAACATTGTATTCTCTTTTCTCAGAGGTTTTGCAAAATTCCAGGAAGAGAGAAAAGAGAATACAAAATACAAAAGTGAAATACATAAATATTGTATTCTCTTTTCTCTCTTCTCAAAGGTTTTTCAAAAAGTCCAGGAAGAGGGAAAGGAGAATACAAAAGTGAAATACATAAATATTGTATTCTCTTTTCTCTCTTCTCAAAGGTTTTGCAAAAAGTCCAGGAAGAGAGAAAAGAGAATACAAAAGTGAAATACATAAATATTGTATTCTCTCTTTTCAAAGGTTTTGCAAAGAGTCCAGGAAGAGAGAAAAGAGAATACAAAATACGAAAGTAAAATACATAAACATTGTATTCTCTTTTTTCTCTTCCTGAACTTTTTGCAAAACCTTTGGGTAGAGAGAGAGAGAGCAATTTTTAGACATTAGTCTTGCTCTGAGGTTAGAAAAAGTTTTGTGTTTTTATGACTTCTGGGACTGGTATCCCCTGACGGTGTCAGCTTCGGTTGTCATTTTTATATTTTTCATTGTTTTCTTCTTTAAAATTTTCAATTGGTTTCAATTTTCTTATGGAATTTCTACTGCATTGCGCAACTTTCCTTTGGAATTGTAGTATTTAACTGCTGCATACATGATTTTAGATTTCTATTTTTGTTACCTAAAAATACTCATGGCACTTATTGCTTTAATGATGGAAACTATTTAATAGAATTAAAAATAAAATCATAAAAATGGACGATTGCATTTAAAAATAATTATAGTTTCTGTGTAATATAATAATGCATTTGTGTCAGTAAAATTCTAATAATTTGATAAGAAAATATTAGCCTCATGGTAGTTGATTTATTTCATTTTCTAAAAGTTAATTTTTATTTTTTGAATTCCATGGCATCGCTCAGAATTAATCTCGATCATAGTGAATAGCTTTCTAGTGCAAATTGCTTTTTAATTACATAAAAAATTTCTTGTTGCTTTTAAAAAGTTTTTGTTATATGTTTGCAAATTTTCACTATTTATTTTATATTTTTCTAGTTATTTAAATTTTCTAAAATTTGTTTTTGTAACAAAATCCAAAATTTGTGAAGCTTGCATTTGGCCAATCGCATATGCCCAACAATCTTAATTATATTCATCATATATCGTATTCTATATCATATTTTATTCTATATTTCTTTTTTTTCTTAGATATTTCAAGGAATACATATGGTGATTCATGGGACAATCCAAAATTTTCATAGAAGAGCATAGGTTTACTTAAACTGTAATTTGTTTTGTTCATTGCTAATAAATAAACAGAAATATCTATGATTAGAAGATATCTTATGGTGCTTAATTATGTAAAGTATGCATTAAAATAAAAGTAAAGGAATACCTCTGATTTGTTTTTCATCTCATAAATTTGTAACCTCTATTGTGCGTAGGTCATATTTTGCCTCTTATTAAAATAAATTAATAACAAATATGGAAGTTTTTATACAAATATTTACCCATATAATTCCAATCATATAATATACTTTATATGATTGGAAAAAATACAAAATGATGCTGATTTTACACTATTTATTTTATTAACAAAATTTGTTGTACTGAACGTTCATCTAATAAAAGAAAGCTTAGAATTATTAATTATAATTTCTTACATTTTGTCGATGTTTCATTCCTTCACCTTATGATTTGATATTTGAGCTAAATTTTTATTATGTTTCCTACCACACACGAAATCTCAAAGGATTAATGTTAAATAACTGGTTTTCCCTGTGAGAAAGCTAGCAACTTGTTTCTCAAACTGGTTTCTACTAACAACTAAAGGGATTATTTTTTTCCCTCTAATTTTTGTTTCTTACAAATCGGCTATGGAGTGAATAACAAATAATTCGTAATATGCTTCATTTTATAATATACTTAGCATTTCCTTGTAAAGTTGTATTTAATTGTGCAAGTGCTTAAATGAAAACAATTTATAACTTATTTTGCATTATTATGCCTTTCAGATGAGAAGTTTGTAGCAGTTATATGATAATATAATGACTTTCAAAATTAGTACAAAAATTATCCTAATTGGATTTTCAAATTGTATAGCAGTGTAAATATTTAACAGAATCAAAACTTTTATCTACATTTTCATAAATATATACAAATTGACAGTTTGTTAATCTTTTTACTCTTAAGATTTGAGAAAGCAATTACATAAAATTTCAAACATTATTTTGATACATTTGTATATGTTTTACACAATCTTATATTTTAAAATTAACAACAGTAATAGTATTTTAATTTTTTTATTTAAATTGCAATGCAATAAAGCAATTGATTCCATGATCATTTCTTGCTATTGTAAAGAAAACAAATTAAGATTGTACCATGCCTTTTATATACTTCATTACATTTCTTATTTAATTTTTTTTAAAAGTACTCTGGCTGTAAAAGGATTAAAGAGTTTTGTTTATACCTTAATTTTCTATATAATTTTATTTTAAAATTAAAAACATTGTTGATAGGATTTTTAATTAGTTGTTATAACTCAAGTTAATTTCTAATTTACTAAAATGTTTAATTGAGTACTTAGGAATCATTTTGTCTTAACTTGTCAGGGTTGATGTCAAAGCTTACAAATTCTTATTGTAGAATCAGAACAAGGCTTTTTATTTATTAAAGTTCTACATCCCAGAAACGGTTCTATATGTTCTCAAAAAAATTCTTTTGTCTTTTATATACCGAAAAAACATGTAAAATATGCTTTATCCCAATTGGTCAAGAGCAGAAATGATAGGAAAACCCCAGAATAGAGAGAACAGGGATAAGCCAGGGAATTTCTCCAATTTTGAAAAATAAAGAAAATGTCTGGGAATTTAATTAAAATACCAATGAAAAAAGCCATAAAGAAGGAATTATGTTGAAGGGGGAAATCTTTTTTTTCTTTACTTGAATTTAAATTCTGAAAATTTTTATTCTTGACCTAAGCTTAATTTATATTAATACCTAAATCGATGCTAACTAATGTTTTAATCGATGCTAACTAAATGTATTTATAAATTACATAAATATAATTTAAGAATATAATTTTTTTTCCAACTTAGATGGCAAATTAAAGTATTTTATAATATGTTTTATGTGCCCAAATGGCACAAAACAGAAAAATTGATAGTTAAATGTATGCCATCAGTTATAAAAATTAAGAAAATTGGACAAAAAGCTGTCTGAAAAATATCATGGAAAAGTGACAAAATTTTCATTTTTTCTGTGTGTTTGTNACAAAACAGAAAAATTGATAGTACAATTTATGCCATCAGTTATAAAAATTAAGAAAATTGGACAAAAAGCTGTCTGAAAAATATCATGGAAAAGTGACAAAATTTTCTTTTTTTTCTGTGTGTTTGTCCACCTTGAATAAAATAACTTATACTTTAATAACAAATAATAACAAATTTAATAACAAATTATACTTAACTTATAACTTATGGATGGTGTTTTCTACACTAGGGAACGCTGCAAACTCGGTACCGCCTAAATTTCCGGGTTACTGTTTCCATTGTATTTTAAAGCCATTTGGCATCATGGTGTTTTGAGATTCTTGCAAACAATGTGTTTGATTACTTGTTACTTGTGTTTTCAATGCTAACAATACTGGTGTTTACAATGCTAAAGGTGTTAACACTAACGTAAGATGGTGCACAGCTTGCAACAAGAACAAACAGTAATAAACTTATGGAAAGAGGCCATATCAAAACTGCCAAAAAAGCGAGTTATTCAAAATCTAGCAACCATGTCACCTTTTTTAACAATATATCTCTAAACTAAAACAAATTTTCACTTCAAACTCACCAGAATTACATATTAACATTAATATCTTATGAAATATGGCAGATTTGAGCTCAGAAATTATCTAATTTATTTCTTTTGTTGAAAACAAAATTATCCGTTTGAAAACATCGCCTATCAGAATAACATGTAAGCAGCTGCAAACTTTTTAACCGGAACTAGAGTAGGTGCCCAACTGGAGATTGTTATTGTTTACATTTCTATTGAAAACACTATCCATACCTTGAATAAAATAACTAATTACTTTTAAGTGGAAGTGATTTACAATTCATTGCTTAAAATTTTTTTATTTTCTTAGAATGAATTTGTTACATTTTTTTTATCTAAATATATGGTAGAGAGAAAGAGATTCCAGAAATCAACTAATTTAAAAAATTATTTGTCCAAAAAATCTATCGAATTAACTGGAGAGTTTGGCCCTATAAAAATATAAACTTTAAATCTTTTAAATGTAAGGAGTTTTAGGGGTCTACCAGGGTCAATAAAAATGCAAAACTTTTAGGAGACAGACCAATTTATAGGAATGAGCATGCTTTAGGCACCAGTTACAATTTTATGATGCCTGGATCCTTATTGGCTTTATAGATCCTTATTGGCTTTTTTATTTTTTGCAGTTAAAAAGTTTCATCTAGGTTAGTTGTGGTAGTTTAGCTGTTATTATTAGTTTTTTTTATTATCTTAATTTATTTAGAATTAAAAAAAATATATTTATAGTCAAAGAATCGAATCTTTAGTAAAATAATATATATCATTTGACAATATCATATCAGGAAGGTGTCGAAATATATAAAAACAAACGAAAACTATGTACCTTTGGAAATTTTTTTATTTTATTTAGAAAACGTGTGTTTTTTTATTTGTTCAGAGGATAACTATTAAATAATTTAAACTATTTATTAGGTAAAAAAAATGCATACAACTACAACTAATATTGAAATTCATACAACTGCAAGAATACCTTTTCTTTTTGGAGTTTCACATGCCTTTTGATTTTAAAATAGCTTAACATCGGTTAGTTGCTACTAGAAATTTAAATCTTGCATGTTATCAGAAAATAATATAGGCCTGTTATTATTTTTATAAAAGTAAATAAATAACTGTTAAAATTAATTTGTTTTAAAGAAAAAGAAAATAAATGAATAAGATGTATGTTTTTGTTTTGTTTAAAACTCTTGTTTAAGAATGTTTACGTTTTCATATTCAACTCCATTTTTTTTGTCACAAAAGAGAACTTTTTTATTTGCATAAATACTGTGTATTTACTTACACCAATCCACTGATTTGCCCAGCTTTTCACATGTTTTACTTAACAGTGTTTCTAATAGTTATCTAGCGAGATATCTAGTAGTCCAGGAGATATTGGATTGTAAAACTATTTCAAGAACAGGTTTTACTGCTTTTAATGTGAGACAATTACACTTGTCCAGTGTATTACACTTTGTGAATAGTATTTTTTCTTACTTTTGTCATGAACTAAAAGAAAGATGAGTGACAGTAAGTGGCTCGTAATAGAATATCATTTTTATGTCTCCAAGCTAAAAAAAAAAAGTCAACAGTAGTAAAAATGTCTAATTTTTGCATTATTAAAAATTTTCAGAAATTAATAAATGTTTTAGAATAATAATAGTTTTGGTTGCTTATTTGAATTCATATAATAGATTAGAATACAAAATTGCACGAAAAATGCTTTTTTATTTCCTTCATAAACGGGCACTAAATACCCTTAAATAGGGTAAATCAATGTTTTGTGATTATGTTTCCTAAATTTATCTCTGAAACTTTTGGTGGATATAGGAAAAGATTTAAATAGTATATGAAATAAATTTTCAGCATGATCCATGTTAACTTATCACAATGTTCATTGTTTTACAATAAATTAACCTTGTTATATTTTTTGTAATGTTAAAAAAAAAAAAGGAAATATGTTTTAATTAGCAAGTTGGATATCAGTAAAATCTCAAAAAATGAAAAGTTATTTGCAATTATATTTGTTTTTATATTGTTTTTCAGTTGTAGTACCGCCTCCGTGGCGCAATTGGCTAGCGCGTTCGGCTGTTAACCGAAAGGTTGGTGGTTCGAGCCCACCCGGGGGCGTATNTTCTATTTGAATTGTAATTTCATTAGAATATTACTTTTTGAAAAAATCCAATTAAAGTTTTCATTAGTATTATGAAATTATAGATTCGAGTTTCTTTTACTTTACAAATACAGTAGGGAACCGATTATCCGGATCGATCGGGACCATCGCTATTCCGGATAACTGATTTTTCCGGTTTTCTGAATCGCTACAAAAAGTCGTTTTTTTATTGTTAAACCCAACTAAAAAAATTTTTTTGGAAATAATCTTAAATAGAAGGAAAAACGATGAAGTAATACACTAATGATTATTTCCAAAATGATGGTAAGGTAAAAATCTGTCAAAAAAGAAAGAAAAATTCTAATAATCTTATGAGGAAAAAAATTTTTTTTTTTTTAAAAATGGTGGGAAAATTCATAGAATTTCGTTCCGGTTTTTTGGTTTTCCGGTTTTCTGATTTCTGGATAACAGGTTCTGTACTGTATATGAAATAAATTTTCAGCATGATCCATGTTAACTTATCACAATGTTCATTGTTTTACAATAAATTAGCTTTGTTTTATTTTTTGTAATGTTAAAAAAAAAAAAAAAAGGAAATATGTTTTAATTATTTAATTTGTAATTTAAAGGAAATATGTATCAGTAAAATCTCAAAAAATAAAGAGTTATTTGTTTTTATATTGTTTTTCAGTTATAGTACCGCCTCCGTGGCGCAATTGGCTAGCGCGTTCGGCTGTTAACCGAAAGGTTGGTGGTTCGAGCCCACCCGGGGGCGAGTATTTTTTAATATAATTTGTATCTAGGTTATTTTTTCAGATAATAAAATTTTTTACTGAAGGAACAATGATGCATTAAATAAGTAATACATTAATAAAAAATTTATATTAATTGAAACACTAAAAATATAGATGCAGTAAGATAGTTTTTCGAAAAATAATTTAGTAGAATCTCTTTACAAAGTTTTATGGTTTTCTCGTGTCAACTAACCATAAGATGGCAGCACTATTTCTATTTTTCGAAGTCTGACACGATCTTAGAACCTGAATCAACATTTGCTTTGATTGGTTAAAATTTTAAAACTCCGCCTACAGAAATTATGCGATTTATATGTTGCCATTTCTCAAAGTATAATAATTTCTACCAAATATTCCTTCCTTAATGCGTCTGATACATCTAAACTTTTAACACAAGTTTACTAACGTAAACAAATAATTGTTATGTGACTTGTTGCAGGTCAAATTCTACAATAATTACGTAATTTATACAATTTTTCATCGAATTTTATCTTTTCAATTGTAAGTTTATAATAATATATTACTGCTTATTGACAGAAAAGATTCAACTTATTCTGATTACTCTTTATTTTTGTCGACATGGGTTGTGATGGTGGCACCATTCCTCGACGTGATGAACTTGTCCGTCAAAAAAAGAAACCTGAACAAAAAGATAAAAATGCTGAAAATGTAGCGAAATGGAAACACTGTGCAATTACTCAGGAGCCTCTTCGAAAACCAATTGTTGCATGTGAACTAGGTAAACTATACAATAAAGAGGCTGTTATCGAGCACATTCTGAATAAGGAAGCGGCTGCTACCTCTGAAAATGCTGGACACATTGCCCGATTGGCTGACATCAAGGAGCTGAATCTAACTGAAAAACCTGGTTTCGAAGTTAATAAAAACCAAAAAGGTGATGAATACGTCGATTTTCACGATTCCAGATATATTTGCCCAGTTACAGGACTCGATATGAACGGTAAGCAAAGATTTTACCTGATGTGGAAATGTGGTTGCGTTCTTTCCGAAAGAGCTGTAAAGGAAGTGAAATCGGATACGTGCCATAAGTGTGGAAAACCAGCGGCAGAAGATGATCTCATCATTCTAAATGGCACAGACGAGGAGACAGAGGTTTTGCGAGAGAAGATGGTGGAGAGAAGACGTGTAGCGAAACTGGAAAAAAAGAAAAAGAAGAAAGCTTCTGCAGCTGAAGGTGCTCCAGTGGAGAAAAAGATTAAAGTAGAAACGTCTGAAGATAGTTCAAGTGGTTATAGCTCTGAAGATGTAAGAATTAAAAAAGAACAAGAAGAGGGAATTGATCAGAAACCTGGCACTTCTGGAGTCAAGACCACCAAGTTAATAAATGGTGTCAAAGCTGAAAATAAATCTCGAAAGGATAAGGAAACATCTAAAAATGTGTTTTTGCCAGACAAAGCTAAAAAGTCTTACAGTATTGCGAAGGATCCTACTGCAAGTGCTGCATATAAATCATTGTTCACGTCTTCAAAAGCTGCAAAACAGCAAGAGAAGGCACACTGGGTAACTCATAATCCTTTGTATTTTTAAATACATTTGGAACAGATATCAGAAAACTTGAGTCTTCATTTAAGGATTTCCTTAATTTAAGAAGAATTTAGACTTTATTTCATTAACAAAGCTATTCTGGCAGTTTTATGAAAAAGACAGGTCTTTAAACAAAAGATTATTTCCTAACCTGATCTTCAAAGAAAAATTTGTTTCTATTTCTAAGCTTCTTGATAGGTTATAAAACAGGCCCTGAATGAAAATTTTTTTGAGTTATTTAAAAAATATTCTAACACATTTGAATTTTTAATAATTCTGCAAACTTAGAAAATAAACTCATCAATTTATGTCATGAATTCAATGTTTTGTGGAATTGAATTCAGTTCTAATGTAATTTTGGTATAAATAACAGAAAGTTTTTTAAATTCATTATCTAAAAATATTATTGAAAGTATGTAGCATTATTTAATTTGTTTGTTTTTATGTATTTTACAACATTAAAGAAAAGTTTTATGTTTCCTTTTGTTTAATATTGATTGAATGGTTGTTTTAGGTTAATACTTAGTTTCATCATAAAGATAATTTGTGTTACACAAGTTTATCTTGTATTCGTACAAAATAGTTATGAATAACATCAAATTTCCAGAAATGATTTTGACACAAATATGAATTCTTACTACAGTTGATGCAGTTATTTGCATATTAAGTGAATGTTTTTTAAATGTTTGTGAAGGATATATTGTATATTTTCAAAACTCTTATTTTCTTTTTCCAAAATTGTATTGGCAGAAGTCGAAGGGAAATTTTTTTTTTCAACCAATAGATCACACATGCTGGTTTTGAACTCTTTAGTTATCAGCGTAAATGACTGGCTTTATCAGCGTAATCAGCGTATCCTTATCAGCGTAAATGACTGGCTTTTTAATAATTCAATAATTTTATAAAAAAGAAACTTATGTAATAATATTACCTCAAGTAATTTATATTTAGGTGATTTAGTGGTCATTTGCTTATTTATTATTTCATTTTTTGAAGTTTTGTATTTTCTCAACTTTAGATTTTTTACTCTCATCTCTGATTTTGAAAATGTTCGATTCCAATAAAAAAACACAGTAATATCGGAGTATTTTTAAATGGTGAATTGAGGATTCATCCACTAACCTATTTTTGTACAAAACTATTAAGTTGGTGAGATGATTCTGAACGCAATCGATATGCATGCTTAAGAAAATGGCCACAACTCAAAAGGTGTATTTAAGAAACTTGAAACAGTAAAAAATGTCCCTCTTCAATGTTCAACCAAAATTTAACAATTAAATGTAGGAATTTCTTTCTAACTTTTCTTTATTTATTTAAACATTTAACCTTATAAAAAACTGTTGACTTATCTTCAAAAAAGACAAATTTAATAAAATGTATTTAGTGATTTATGCAAATGAATAGGGTTCACGCCAGTACGGTGAAAATCGTTACCACATGTTCTACAAATGTCGCTGGGCGACAAATTTGTTGCTTTATAATATATTTCAAATTTACGAAATAGTAACGATAAATTTTTTTGCATCGAATTCCATGCATTAAAATTTTTTTTTATTGTTTTACGCATGATATAAAATTCAAATCGCTGAAAGTATCTGGTACAAAAATTTTCAAGAGTGAATGTTGAAATTTTAAATTTGCATGTTGTGTTGTGCTTTGTATTCATGTACTGGCAATATATTTTTTCATCAATAAAATAATATGTTTCGCTCTTTCAGAATTGACTTTTATAATTTCTGGATAATTATTTTTAATATAATATTTTCGTAGTTCTCAGTTTCTCTCATTTATTAATTTATTTGGTTGTAGCATTTTAGTCTCTGTGTTGAATCTATTTTCTAATATTTTTATATTATTTTAGCTTTTTCACTTAATTTTAATAAATATTAATCTTCAATCATTATGGGGTAATGAACCTAATTAGTTATAGTTATTTAGATAGCAATTAATATTTTGTGATGTGTACCATAACATGAATTATGTAATTGCGAAGTTCGATTTTTTTCTCAAGTTTGTGGACCATGTTAAATTTTTGAACTAGTAAATGAATACCTTGTTGGGCCACTAAATTTTCATTACTTGTGTGAACCCTACAAATGAACAATATCACAATGCAAATTTATTTGGTTTAATTTATTAATTATTTTAAAAAAGAACAGTATAAAATATGTTAGAAATATTTAATCAAATGCTATGTTCATTTTTTTTAAACGCACCTTATCTCCATTTGTTGAATTATGTAATTTGAGCTGCGTTTATTTATTTCTAAACACACCTTTTAAGTCATGTCCATTTTTTTAAATGTGTATTTTGAGCTGTTTCCATTTCTTAATTATACATTTTAAGCTGTGTCCATTTTCTTAAACAGGCATTTTGAGTGTCTATTTCTTTAAACATGTATTTCCTGTTGTGTCCAGAATCAAAATCTCACTGACAATATATACTGCATTTTCTTTTTTTAACAGTATTGAGACCTTATTTAAAAATTATTTGATTAGGATGGTTTTGAACTCTGTTGTTACAAATTTTGCTTGTTTATTCACGTCACACTCGAGCTGTAAAATGAGCTATTGGAGATGGCCAGGGAAACATCCCTGAGGATGATCCAAAGACATGCCGTCACAATTTTAATCCTCTGCGGAGGGGATCACTCCCCTGCTTTGGTAGCGTACAAAGTTGAGTACTTTACGGTAGAGCAGTTTAAAGAAGACCGATACTACACACCCTCGGTCCCTTCGTAGCCTGATCAAAGTGGTCACTCACCCGCACACTGACCGCAGTCAATTATGCTTGAATTTGGTGTTCTACTGGGATGATCAGTTCACTGAGGAACCTGTTACAAATTTTAATTAAATATTAGTATGAGGGAATATTAATTGATACAGGTTATTTTTTTTAATGAAAGAACAGTTACTGTAAAATTTATATATATATATATATATTGGTCTCAAACTATTATGAGTTGTTAGGGCTAAATTATTGAAATTATATTAAAAACTGTTAAAACTTTGTTTCAAATGAAGAATGCTGAAACTTAAAATAACATTTTACTACTGTTTTGGAATAAAATTTGCCTTCATTATACAACTCTAGAAAATTATATATTATTTTTAGTTTGTCCTTTGCTGTCTTTGTTTTTGGTTCACTAAAATTTCTACTTTAATTATTGGTATATGTTCATAGATGTGTACATATTAGTTTAATATCAAACTTATTTTGAAACTTGGTGATAATAAATCCTCGTTTCAAAAATAAAATGTCTTGCTCACTTGACTTTATCTGTCATTGATCTATGAAATCTCATTATGGCTTGTATTTTTTTCTTCATTTATAAAGTAACTAATAGCTGTTTTTTGTATTAAAAGAAGAAAAAAAAATTAGACTTGTTAAAATTTGTTTCGATGGGAAAGCTTTAGAGGCTTAAAAATATTTATTATGAGCTACATAAGGCTTTCCCATTTTATTTTTTTTTATTGCTAAAAAAGTCTTGCATCTTGATTTGTTAAAGCCAGCATTTAAGAATAATAAAAATGAAGAGCTCCTTTTTTTGTATTTAAAAATCTTAAATTGTAATTAAAAAAAAATACTATTACTAAAAAGTAAATTAGTTTCAAGATAATGTAAAATGTAGATATATAAAACCTTAAAAAAGCCAATACTAACATATGTGTCTGGAACCTGGGTTTTATCCAACTAAGATGAAAATATATTAAGAAATTTAAAGTAAGAATAATTAGAAGGATTTATGGAGCCATTAATGAAAATAATACATGGAGAAAAAAATACAACCATTAAATATCAAAATTAATTAAAGGAAAAAACACCTTAAGATTTATCAGGGGAGAGAGTGAACTCTATTCTAAAGAAGGCCAAAGCCCACCAAGCATTGTGGCATTAAAAAAAAAATCTTAAATTGTATTTTGTAGAATCAACTTAACCCTTTGTAACTCAACAACTCTGATTTAAGAAATATTTACCCGTGTGTTAGAATACATCATATTAAGCGTGTAAAAAATAATGAAAAAATTAAGACCCTAAAATTAAAAATTTATTGATAAAAAGCATATGTTGAACATCTCCAATATCGTGAAAAATTGCACAAAAGTTCCAATATATTTAAAACTTCATGTGAAAAATTTTGAAATTGTTGTTTTTATGGTAACAAGGTCTCACACCACATTTTTCAATCCCTCCTTAGCCAAATATACAATCAAGGGGATTGTTGTAAAAAAATTGTATATCCTGCAATTATGTCGTGGAACAATTCTTGCTAAACGCATTATAATATTGGCAGCTGCACCAAGACTTGGTTCCCCCGAGTTTGCAATATTTAGTTCGATTTTATAGGTAATTCCACCTCATTATAGGATTGAATTTTCATGTATGTTGCAGATATGTAATGCGGTGATACAAAGGGTTAAATTTTGCAATATGCATGCTACCTGCCTTGTGAAAAAAAGCCTGAATATATGTTAGAAGAAATTTAATTAGAAATAAAAGTCCTCCTGATAAAAGAAATGTTACCTCTTTTAAAAAATATTTTATCTAAAAAGTAAATTAAGGCCAATCATTTTTTTCTAAATGAAACAGAAGAACTTATCAATTGTAGTCCATTTCTCAAATTATAACAAATATAAAGCAAAACATTATCAAAACTGTGAGTTACAATTATTAAGTTTAGTGCTTATGTTTATTATATTAATGTCTACTACGTTAAAAAAGATGATTCATGTTGAAAATTCCCAAGAGTTGTTTTAGCAAAATCTAATTGAAACATTATGAAATAAATAAATTAAACAAATTTTTTCATTTTTTTTAAAAGCATTTATTTTCTTTTTAAAAAAATAAACAATCTATAAAAATGGCATTTAATAGTGGCTCAATTAAGTTAATGTATCTAAATGAAACAATGCATTTTATCTTGGGAGAAATTATTTTCTGCAAGATTATTTTCAATCTTTCTGAAAAAGGCACTGATACACATTATTTACAGTTGATCCGAAAGTAATTAAAAAGTGATGTTTAGAAAAGCCTCCTGTCTTGCTAGATAACTTAGTTTTAAAATAATAGTACTTCAAAATTAAGTTTTTAAAAATTGGGTGTTTAAAACAATCCTTTACTAGTATTTTTGAAATTTTTCTACGTGTTAAGATTAGTTTAGTTTTTTTTTCTTTCTTCCTTTTACAAGTTTTTAAGATTATATAAAAATGTATGTTTTGACTTTAAAAATTTGCTTACAAAAAAAAAACAAAAAAACAAAAATAGAAGATGAAAAGAAAAATTATTGTTTTTTCATATTGAAAAGGTTTTGATATTATTGGTATCAGTATTAAGGAAGGTAATTATTAATTTTTATTTTTAACTGTTACATTATCACACATTCATTAACGAAATAATTTTTTATTATTAAAAATATCTACTTCATAAGAAATGCTTTTTACTTTTCAGTTTAATTCATTATCAAAAATATTTATAATTATTACATAGTTAATTTAACTTATAAATGCAAAATAATATATGGAAATAATAGATTCCATTCATAATAATAATTCCATTCATAGATGAGAGCATCAATATATTGATGAGATTAAGTCCAGTCTCTGTAATTTCTCTAAGTTCTATTTTCTAGCTATGTCATGATTCTTTGTAAACCAGTCCACAGTGTCTTTTACAGCTGAAAATTATTTCTTTTATTAAAAACAAAGTTTAACAGAGTAGTATTTATGAAAATGCATGTTATAAAGGTAGAAGAATGCACAATTTTTAAATTAAACTACTTGTAATGAACAGATTTAAAAATAAATTTTATTGAATAATAACTTGGTTAGAATGTAGTGTATAACAACTAAATAAAGCCAGTTGTTTTTTTCTCACTATAACTAGATGCAAAGAAACCAATGAGAATGAAACTTATATATTTAGAGTCTTTATCTAAACACATATTTACAAGGAGTAACTCATTTCTTGATCCCTCGGAAAAGAAAAACATATCGAATAAGGAGGAAGAAAATTGTCCCATCGAAATAAAGCCATTTCAGATAATAAATCTGTCATGTTTATGACTTGAAATATATGATTTTGTGTATCATTTACTAAACCCTGGAGGACATTAGCATCATTATTCCAGGTTTTAATAAATAATGACAGCCTTCAATTCTGCCACAAACTGAAACTTTTTTGTATACAGTTATATACACATAGTTTGGTATATACACTAAGTTTTTAGGAATATAGGTCAGGTAAAAGGGCAGGCCATTCTTGGTATGCAACATTTTTTTCAAAAACCAACACTGTGAAGATTTTTTTAACCTAAATGGAGTCATTATCTTGCTGGAATATCTGACTTTAGCCACTAAGTAGTAATAATTGGATTTCTAGAATTTTTTTGATAATCAGCAATCTCCACTTAGCCTGAGGGAGAAACTAGATCTGAAGCCTTCACACACAATGAGCTCTCAACACTATTTACTGGAAGTGCCAATAAAATATTTCAGTGCTTTATTCCGGACCAATAAGTTTAGTAATTTGGACTGCTAGTATGATTTTTATACATACAAAATTGTGGCACTTAACTTTTTAACCAGTTAGTTCCAATTATTCACAGACTCTCAACAATGAAAAATATTTTGAGAAAAGAGTTTTTTGTCAGAAACTAGTTATTTTATTATGTTCAAGTGAAGTCTGAAAATTAATTTGCATTTTGTTAATGTATATAGTGCTTAAAAATATTTTGTGTGTGCTTAAAGAGTACTTAAAGGTGCTTATTTTTTGTTGAAAGATTTGACTACACACCCTGGATTGGCAAAAACACTCGATTTTCCCATCTGTAATTGATTTGACTACCTTCACTTCGGCTATTTACAAAACTAGTTTTTTACACTTAATAATCTAATAAAGTTACATTTGGATTGTATTAAGTTAGATAACAGTAATGAGGCATTAGTAGATTTTTGACAAGTTTAATATAAAATATGAGGAAAAGAAAAAAAAAATTATATAATTAAAATTTTAGTGTCAGTTAAATTTAAACCAATGATACATGAACAAAAATATTATCAAAATTAAAAATGGAAAATAAAAATATTGATAACTAATATTCAATTATATTCGTTATTAAAGTATTGATTTTTTAAAAAAAAATCTGTTTAAAAAAAGAAAATTTGAAAAAGTACATTTAAAAAAAAAAAAACCATTTAATTTACGTGACCAACTATCCTTACCTTCTTTAAAAGGCGTGAATACAAAGTCTGGTTTATATTTACGAAGTTTTGCATTGCTTGCTGTTTTCTTATGTTGGCCATCAGATTTAGTCGTATCAAACTACTACAGTAAAGGATCATAAAATTAAGATTATTTTAAAATGTACAATATATTTAGTAGTATAGAAAATTGTAATAGTTTCTTTCATTTTCTTAATTTAAATTATAATATGTGTTATTAAAGATATAAGTGATTAAATTAACAAAACTTCACTTTACTATAAAAACGTGTACTTTCTGCTTAGCAAATGTAATATTTTAACTTTTCTATTTCTTTCTGTACATTTACTATACATAATAGTATAATTAAACAGCTTAGGGCAAAATAACAGTAATTTTAAAATGTTCTGGAGAGTATTTTTAATGAAAGACAGCAGTTTTTCAAGTTATCAATAAGATGTTTCACTGTATTAAGCAGTATAGCACTGTTATTAAGCTTAGTAGATAGGCATTTAACCTGGCACTCGCACAACACCTATTTGGAAATATTACTAAATATCAAATTTGAAATTGTCCCCCTTCAAAAAAGTATTGCATATCATAATATTGATTCAATTATCAGAATATATTTTGTTAATTACATAAAAAATTTTTTTTACTATTTCAAACCTAATAAAATATGTGTTTCTATTATGGAAACATGAAGGTATTGGCTAAGAAAATGTTTGACATTAAATCAAAATAGAAAAGTCCCGCTTATTTTATTTATTTCTCTCTAAATCTCATGCAACATGTCAAAAATGTTATTTACTTCTATTAGAGCTACAAGATTATCCTTTTTTCCATCATTTATAACTAAAAAAAAACGTTTATTCCTATGAAATAGGTAAAATGCAGCTAAAAAAACTGAAAGAATAGTAACCGAGTAAAGATTTTTTCTGATATTTAAAAACTAGTATAAATAAAATAAAAAAAACTATTGGTAATATAACTGTATAAAGTAGAAGGAAAGAACAAAAAAATGCAAAATAAATAAAAACAGAAAGGATACAACAACTTCGCCTTTGAAGTTGAAAGCTTCAGTTACGGCCAATGCAGCATCTTTGATACTAACTTCTTGTTCTTCATCAACTTACAAAAACATAAAGCAAATAGAGAACAGAATTAAAAACAATCCAGCATATAAAATATATAATATATATTAATTGCATGCAAATATGTTAACCCTTTTTTTCCCGAATTGTTAATCTCCAGCCTTAAATTTGTTTGCTTGTTTTTTAACTTTGAAATCAATAAATGTTTGTTTTCCATTCAATTACTGAATATTTAATATCCAAATACAATTTTATTCTATAATATTACTATTGTGATGTGTCATCATCTAATGTAATTCTGAAACCATCATTTAATATTTATCTAATTAACTCAATCAATCATCCCATCCATTATATTATTCTTAAACAATATATTTAATTCACAAAAACACCATCAATTATAATATATTTTTTATTTGTAACAAATACTTTGTTTTCTATCTAGTTATAAGTGCTTAGGACTCAATAAAAAAATATGAAAGACTTATTTGCAAAATTGATCGAGACAGAAAGCTGAGAACTTAGGAACAAATTTGAGGAATTTAAAATGGCATTCTCGAACGAAAAATCAAGAAATAAATACTTTTATAGGTGATGAACTTCAAATAATTGCACGTTGTCAACTATTAAGGATAAACAGAAAATCGTATTACAGGGGCAGACAAGTTCCGCTGGGGTACTTTGCTTTGCTTCACTGCTATTAGGAAGTTAAAAGTTAGGAAGTTATTAGGATGTTAAAAGTCCCATCTGGAAATAAAGGGTTAGGAATTTAAAGCTGTACAAAAATATTCCACACAGTAGAAATCCTTGAAAGCAAAGTACACAATCATCTAATCTTTAAAATATCAGAAAAGCAAAATAAATATGAATAAATTGTTACACACTTTTATTTATGTAAAAATGAGCAACTGATTATGTTGTAAAGCATAAAAATCATTATTCAATTGTCAGTAGAGGATATAGCAGAATACAGAATGATTCAAATTAATCCTTAAAATGTTACAACTTTGGACATAAAGGTATAGAGCTCTCTGATTTTTCCTGATATGTATAAAAGGACAGGTTTTGTGGCAGCAAAATAATCATGCAAGATTGAAGTTTGGAAAAGCTAGGAGTAAAGGCCCAAAATGTTAAAATATCGAGAAAAATGTTAAAAATTATTATGGATAAACTTAGTTGATGACAATCATGAAACTTGAAGTCTCTAACATGAATGACATGTTAGTAAAAAATATGTTTATCAAATAATTCAAGCATTAGGAATTAAAAATATTTTTTTCAGTATTTTGCCTTTGTTTTCTTGTAAGATGACTGAATAATGATGAAAATAATCTAGATGTTAATAATATATCTAGCATAATATGAAAATAAATTTTTTATAGAATTGATATTTAAATTTTATGACTCCTAAATTTATACTTAAAAAGGTAATTCTTTCTTATAAAAGTCTTTTGGAAAACTGTATTGATTTCGTTAACAATGTTTAGTAGATTACCTGATAAAATAATTGGATCGATTTCATCATACTCTCGCAGTACCCAAATAATAAGTTTTGCCAGATCTAATGAATAAATAAATTGTCTAAGAGGTTTTCCAGATCCCCAAATGACCAGAGGCGCTCCATTTTCTGAAAATAAAAATAATAAATGATATACTTCCTGAAACTTAGAAAATCTGTTATATGTATTGAAATAAATAAATAATGATACTAAATAGATAATTTGGAACATAATATCTAAAAATTACTTTGTGCCTCATAGGTTTTGTGAATAAGTCCAGGAAGCACATGGCCATCTTCTAAATTAAAATTATCATACGGTCCAAAAACATTAGTGGGAATTACAGCAGTAAAATTACATCCATGTTGAGTATGATAAGCATGATTTTGGACATCAATTAACCGCTTTGCATATGAATAGCCAAAATTGGAACTATGAGGTGGTCCATTGTGAATCTAAAATAAAACATCATAATGTGTTTAATATTCAATAATATCATAAGTCATAAAAATGTGCCTAATACTCAATATTAATTCATTCATGTAAAAAGTTTGTAAATATTCGTACCATTGTTTCATCAATCGGGTAAGTAGTTTTATCTGGAAATATGCATGTTGATAAACAAGAAACAACTTTTTTTACTCCATGGTGAAAACTGCTGTTTAGTACATTGTCATTTATATGTATATTATTCCTCTGAAAAAAAAAGTTTTAGAATGATTGTTATTACATAATTTGTTTTTATATAATTTTATGATTAAATGATAATCATTAGCTACTATGAAAAAGGAAATTTTAACAGCAAATTAAATATTAAGAAAAAACCATTGAATTATGTTACATTGTGTAAGTGATTTCTTTAAAGTAAAATCTATTACTCACATATAAGAATGTTTTTCTGGACTAAAACTATTTTTCTCATTATTATTTATTCTAAAATGCATGTTTCACTAAAATGGAAATAATTTTAAACATAAGTCAATGTTGTCGTTGGCCGTTAAGGCAGAGGGGGTGGGATTGTTCTTGTTTTCTAGTGGCGCCTTCTATGGCCAAGAATTCTTCTGCCACACCGTTCATAGGGCGGACCTATTCTTACATCCATTCAATCATCCACAGATCACAATTTTGACCTGAACCAGAGAATGATCAATCTCCAATTCAGTACCCCCAGAGGTATTGATTTGTTACCGGAGCATGGAGGACTTTGTGACCAGACAGATTTAACCTGCACCAGTCACCATTTACTACACAGGGACTCATTGGCCGGCTGGATTTGAACTCCCATTCTCACAAGCGTGAGTCCAGCACCCTGCCAACCAGACAACAAAAGTCAATAAACCTGTAAAACACATCCTTTTCAAGACTAAAATTATATCTGGAAAAAAATTGTAAATGTTAGAAATTTTTCCCATGAACTGACATGTAATTCATAATTGCTTTAAAACTTATTTAAGAATTTAAAAGAGTTTTCCTTCATTCAAATGACAGCGAGGAAAAACTCAAAACTATTTATACCACAATATGTTAAATCAATTTATAAAATCATCAAATAGCTTATCAATGTAAAAAATTCACAATTAAATCAGGAACATTACCAGAAAGTCTAAATTGAATTTCAGATTTCGAAATAATCCTCCAACCATTGCTGCTAAGTGTACTACATGAGTTGGTTTGTATTTCTGGAATATTAAGTCCGTTTCTGCAGCATCACTAAAATAAATATTACACATAATGAAAAATAATTTACTAATAGTTATTGTTTCATATATAATATTATTTGAATCATCATAATAACAATAAATATTTGTAGAATGTTCCTGCTTCAATAAGTTCTCTGTCATGTTAACAAAAGGATTAAATTTATGAGAACGTTCTCTATAAATATGTAGAAAATTAATTTTGTCTGTAGAAGTACAAATGCTAGATCAATTTGTTTTAATTCTTTGATCTATTTTCTTCTTATCATATATTTATTATTATTATTTTCATTTATTTATAATTAAAAAAAAAGTTGTTAGATACTTTAGGGCATATTGAAAAATAAGTTTTATAAAGAAACCCATAAAGATTCTGAGCAGATAACAATAAAATGATAAATAATTAAGTTAAAACTTGACATAATGTTAGTATCTCAAATCAATGTCTATTAATTTTTATATGCATACGTAAAAGCATTTACAGGCTAGAAAATTATTATACTTCAAACACGAAAAAAAAAAAAGTTCTAGAATTGAAATAAATTAAATCTTACATTCTTGCAAAGGAGATAAGCAGGAAAAAAAGTTCAGAACTATTATACAATGACTTTTTGACAAAAAAAAGTGTACTTGCATGACAGCTTTTGATAGTGAAGGCATGCAGGAGGACAGCGTATCCACACTGGATTTTTAAAAGAAAAAAATACCATTTTTTGTCAATTTCACTATTTTTTTAAATGAATTACAACTTTTTCTGTTTATTTTTTTATAATTTTTTATTGCTTGCAATATTTTATAACATATATTATTTTTTTATATTTTTTTACAATTTTCTTTGTTCTTTCATAGGTAACAGTTCTATTTTCAGAAGTAAAAGTTCTGTGAACAGTAAAATACAAATACCTTGCTTTTTTTCTTATATAACATTAAGTTATGCTATAAATTTAAAAGAAATTTTAAAAATATTATTTCAAGGGATTATATATAATTTAGAGAATTTTACGCTAAATGCAGATAGGAAGAAAAAAAATTATCCGTTCATTTTGAAACATTTATATAAATTGGGGTTGTTAGCATTTCTCCTTTAAAAAATTTGCTACTACAACTACAATTCTTCCTCAAAATGATAAAAACACTGTCTGATAGATTATTATTAAACTGATAATAAAATTGATTGAAAAATCAATAAAATTGTACATTTATATTAATCATTAAAAGGAATTTATAAAATAATATATTGAATTACACTAGATTTCCAGCTTTCGATGATAAAAATATCCAAGTTTCTCCAGGCATAGCATTAGATTTTGTAACCTGTTCAATAGCTCTTCCCACGAGACCAGTGCCTCCAGTGACTAATATGATTTTTTCAGACATTATTTCAGATCTAAACACAAAAGAAAAACCATCAATTAAAAATGGAATCTTGTCTAAATTATAAAAGACAGACTAAAATAGAGAAGGAATTCTGATAAGATCCAATCAAATTAAACTATCATTTACTAAATTAAAGCATTTAAATTTAGAAAAACGCACGATATAACTAGCATTAAGTGAAAAACTATCCATAACCATAAGCACATTAATTGAAAAATTGGTGAAATCTCTTATTTGTTTTTTAATAACAATATCCCCTAATTAAAGGAATCAGACACTTTGCATAGCATTAAAAATGACACAACTAACATTGTAATATGAGAGAAAAAAGTAGAATTTTTTTCACCAATCCAAATATATTTCAAACAGATATTTGAGACAGAACACAATAATGCAAGAAAAATTCTCGTTTTGAGATTGATATATTATTGATATCTTATATAACTTCAATGTGTAATTGCACTTTAAGCGAGAATTTCATAAGCGAAAATGAGTACATATCTGTCATCACTATAATTTTAACCTTATCACAGATTGAAAAGATACTTTATTGCAAAATGACTAAACGAAATAAAACAAACGTCAAAGTTCAAGAAATAGTTTTTACTAAAACACTCTATTAAGTTTATTTAAATTAGATAAGGCAAACAAATACCAAAATTGGCTAATGCTAATGTATGTTATATTCACATGGGCTCGTGCCGCAAAAAAATAGCTTTTTTAAATTCAAACCAAAACAATCACATGGAGAAAAAAAATGTAGCAGACGTAATCAATGTGGTTTGTTGCCATACCATTGAATAATAATATAATGTATTATTTTAAAAATAAAATAATTTAGTTTCAATAAATATTCATTACACATGCGAAATCAATCAAGAGTGAATAAATTTTTTTACACCGAAATAGTTTCAAAATTTTATGTTTAAATATAAAATTTTGTTAAGTTTGTTAAAATGCTAAATGGCAGTTTGGTATCGAGGCTATATGCCAAAATTGGAAGTTGTCTGCTCACTGCTCAGAAAGTTTACTTATCGGTGAATTGTTACGATTGGTATGCGGTTTATTTAAAACCTCTTTTTACAGTTTTGTGCCGGGAAATCTTTGACTCAGTTTTTTTTTGAATATGTCAACTGTTGAAAAATGTATTCAAAATACAGACTCAGCAGGCATTCTGTGGTACCTTGGTCTACTAGTTTTTTGTTGGATTTCATTTAAACTGCTTAGGTCATTATGGCGAGGACTATATACATGCATTTTAGCCGATTTGCTTGGAGCTACTGTAGATTGGAAGAAACTTGGGAAATGGGCCAGTGAGTATGTTTGTGATTATTTAACGTCAGAAAATGTTTACCATTACATACATACTGTACAAGTTTAAAGTAGTTAAATGTGTTGCATTTTCTGAATAATATTAAACACCGAAAACAAACTTACGCAGAAAACTAGCTTAGAATAATATCTTAGGGTGAATAGTTTTATTTCTTTTAGGATTTTTTTTCTCTCGTGATTGATATATATTATAACAAATATGTGCTGTATAATTAATGGCATTTAACAAAGTAAAAAGTGAACTATTGGTTTATGATTAATAACCTCAAGTACATTTTATACCTAATGTAGTGTGTTTAAAAGTTAAATTTTTATGTGAATGATTGATAGAATGCTAAGTCGGTGACGTAGTTTAAGCTTTTTGTTTCTAAAATTGTTGTAAGTTTGTTTTGTTTCTAAAATTGTTGTAAGTTTGTTTTGTTTCTAAAATTGTATAAAAGTTGAAAATTTACATTTAAATTTTCCAATTCTATCGTCTGCTCATTTTTTCCCCAAATCACCTTGGTTACTACAATCATTTCATGTATCTTGATAACAAAACAGATTGTTATATCTAAATTTAAAAGTTTTCAATAGAGAAATCACTAAATTTTTTGTTATATTAACACAGGATTTGTTCTAATGATTTATTCACCAGTTATATTGGGATAAAATTTTATTATTTTGTATCGTAACCAGGGTAACTTCACTTTTAGTTTTGATTATTTAATTCCTATATCATTTTTGATCTCTATATGAATTCGATAAACGTTTTTCGCTTAAGAGATTATTTAATATCAGTGATAAAAGTTGATTTCTATTGATTTATACTAATTTACTAAAGACATATTTGAAATCGAAAATGATTTGAACTTATGAATAACTGAACTGAGTTCTGTACCGCTCAAGAATCTTAAACATATTAAAATAAACATAGTTAATCTAAAATTTGCAGTGTGATTGTAATAGCTAATAGGAATAAAATCTTTATAATTTAAGTTTCTTGCAACAATGAATTGAATAAGTTGTGAATTATTCTTAAAACTAACTATTTGAAGATCATAAATTATGAATATTTTTTCCAAAGTCTAAATTCCCTAAACAATAGGGATTGTTTCATTGTGTTGGGGCTTTGAAATTCGTATTAAGAAGTACCAGCCTTAGATAAATTTAGGAAGCCCTAAAAATAACATGAGCGTTTGCTTGTTAAAGTATCTAAGATTCAGAGCTCGGTACAGTATGTATAATAAAAGGAACACTTAAATCATTTTTAATGTGATTGAATTTGTTCTTTAAGATGCGATCTTTGGGGGTTTAAAGGTAGATCTTAAATGGTGCAGTCAGTATCCTAAGTAAATAAATCAATTACGAAAACCATACTTTTTCAGTTGGATCATACCTTTTTTTATTAATGCATTCAGATTTATTAATGATTGATAAGAATTGAATTTTGCGGTACATCAATGCTTACCTTATTTTAAAATCCTTGTATCAGTAAATAGCAAAGTCCAAAATGTGATCAAAATCGATTTAATAGTTTCTGAGAAATAAATCTTTAAGAAAATTCTACATTTTTTTCTTATTTTCATATTTTTATCATGTAATAAATATTAATTACAATAACCGTGGAAAACTAAAGAGTGAGGAAGCTGAAGTTTCTAAAAAGTTTTAGAGGTTAAGAGAATTTTTCTTTCTTCAAAAAAGCAGTTGATAATTAGTATAATAACAATAATTAGAACTTACTTGGGACTTGATAGATATTGTGATGAATTCAAGTCATATTGTGGAACCAATGGCAAGTCTCAATTTTGATATTTATTTTCTCGAGTATTTAATTTGTAATAAATTATAATTTGGTAGAAGTTTCCACTGAGGAAATATTAAAGATCTCTTGAAATACAGAAATTTAAATTCTGCAAAGAATATTTGTTAAAAAATGTAGCTTTAGAAGGGAAGGGAATATGCCCCTCTAATTTATAAAATGTGAGAGGGATAATTCTCCCTCTGTCCCCTAAGTTACACAGTTCCTGAATAATTGTTTAAAATTTTTTTTTTCTTTTGAGATATTTTTTGGTGTACAGTATTGTAGCTGTGTTAAGATTTTTATTAAATTTGTTTAAATAGTTCCACAGATGTAGAAAAATATTCTAACTCTGTTTAGAAGAAATTTGGGTCTGTTAACGGACCCTTCACAAAATATATTTTAAGGAAAACGGACCATTCACAAAATAATTTTTTTAATCGGACCCTTCACAAATTTGTTTATCTTCATTATTGTTTTGTTAATCAAATAAACCCTTCCCGGGGGAGAAAAAAAAAGTTTTCCTAAGTTTAAATTCCAAATGTAGTATTCTAAGAAAATATTTCTACTTTTACAAACGCATTCTTATTAATATTAAATCATAATTTTTTGAAAAAAAGATGAATCATTGACCAATTTATATTTATTCATAAAATTAATTAATAGAATATTATGCAAATAAAAATTAATTTCTGCCAATTTTTTAAATAAAATATTATAAATTTAAGAATTGTTTGAGTTTACTTAATGCGTAACACATTAAAAGTGATACATTACTGAGTTGTGTTATTTAAGATATGTCAATTGAAATTATTAAAAATGTGAGTGATTTTGTTTCCATTATTCTTCCGAAATGAATATTCTGTGTTGAGCAGTATAGGCTTAATACCAAATATTTGTATGTTACATGTCTAATTTAGTAGCAGCTATTGTTGATCAGAATCTTGTTACAATTTTAAAACAATTTAAATAATTGTTTTTCAATTTAAAAACTTCTTGAAAAATTTTTTAGCAATTTTTGCAATAACAGGACCCTATTTGCACAAATTGACAGAAGCAGGACCCTGGTTGAAAGAATATGACTTAACGCTTATTTTATATTCACAAATTATGAGTAGTTTTTTCACAATTTTACTAAAACAGGACCTTTCACAAAATGTCTGGACAGACCCCAGATAGTCTACCCCTCCAAAATATAGAATTACTTGGTGGTGTGTCAACAACAATATTTAGAACGAAAGGTATTCAGGTGTTTTGTTTTTTATTTGGCGCTCTATTTTATAGATCCTAACTTATAGAACTATTACTGCGGATAAAAAGAGATCATAAATTTTAAAATCATAAATTTATGTTATGCATAATTCGACTGCTCAAATTTTCAGCATTTTGAGGCATGTGTTGGAAAAGGAAATAATTTAGGAGCTATAATTATACCATGTGACAGTAAGTCAATCATTTAATTAAAACAATGAAAACATGAAAAATTCAAACATAAAATGCATTTTAATTTAATAATAAATATTTTATGGTAAACTAATGTGGTTTTCGGATTAAAAATAATTTTGTCACCATGTTTTTTTTTTCCTGAAATTTTTTATTTTTAGATTAAACGTTTCCTAAATTTACCGTCACTTGTGCTTTACTTGAATTTTAAATTTACATTCCTAGTTTTTATTTCAAATTGTCTTAATTCGAAAAAAAAATGTACACGGAATTCTGCCCTGCAATCCTTAATTAGTCCTTTATCCTTAATTAGCAAGAATGTCATTAAAAATTTCCGTTTAAAAGAGGAAAAAAAGAATATTTTTGTTTAGAGATTTTTCAAGGTTAAAATGGATTTTGAAACATAAATGTTTCATTAACCTTTTAAAAAAAAAAAATCCTGCTATATTTTTACATTTTTATTTTAGAGATTTGATCCATGTTTAAGTAAACTAGTAAACTTTAATCCATCCTTGAGAGAAGAAATTTTAAAGCCATTATTGCGTGAAAAAAACGATGGAATTCCAGTTAAAGATGAACTGAGTGGTGTTATTTCAAAGATTTATTTATTTATTATTCTTTTTTTTTTTGCAGCGTATTTCAGGTTTCAACACGTTTTTTTTTTTAATTTTTTTTCTTAACATATTTGCATTTAACACTGTGTTTAACGGAATTAACTATCTTTTTGGCAATTTTTAACAATGCAGGCTCTTTCTTATTTCCCCTCTTATTGCAGTAATCATGAAGTAAAATATATTTTGTTTAATTTTTCCTTTTTTTAAAAATTAAATCTTTCAACTGAATTTCTTAAAATAAATTATTTTAATAATGTACTGCTAGATTATTAAAGCAAGATCCCGTCTTCGTCTCAAAGACCACCAGTTAAAAAAAAATTTATTTCATGTCCACATAATCTTTTAGCTGTATTTCGTTATTTAGAGATCAAATGGCTATTTCTGTGTTATTATTCTGTCTAGTGTAAGTGGGTATAGATCGTTTTGTAAGATCTGAAGGTTCGTGTCAAATATCAGCTGCTGCTGCACACATGTTTAAATATTTGAAAGTCAGATACAAACTTTAAAACGGCTTCTCTTTTAGTGGGAGGCAAATTTATTTTTGATATCGTGAAGTTGAAAAAATAAGTGTCCCTTACTTAAAAATGTTTAAGATATTTTAAAGTTTATTCTTTTTCATTACCGATAGCGTATGAAAAATTTTGTCGTTCATAAAATTGAAAATGCGTTTCAGGGCTTGGTCTAGAACAGGGTGCATAGCGTTTTTAAAAACTACTTAAAGGTGGATATTTGAAAGCCCTTTAAGGTGCTTTTTTCATTGGGTGTTTTTAAAAAGTGCTTAATTTTCTCCTTTTGAAAATGAGATTTTTTTTCTTTACCTTGTCGATTTTCGTCACTGAAGTGTGCTTTTCACATTGTTCTATTCGAAGTTATTCACAATTCATTCAACCACAGTCGATTTCGGTGTGCCGTTGGTCCATAGCGTATAAAAACACCAATCATTTTACATGTTTGATGAAATACTTGCGAGTCCGCATGTGCATATACTGAGCTGGGTTCGGTGAGATTATTGCACTCTCATGTGCAACTCTGCTGCATTTTGCAAGACATTCTCAATTTCAGACATCATTTTTCACCCTCTGATATCGAAACGAAAAATCTGTCAAGCATTATAAATGGCTAATATAATCAAGAAAAGAGTTAG